CAAAACAAAACAAAACAAAACAAAACAAAACAAAACAAAACAAAACAAAACAAAACAAAACAAAACAAAACAAAACAAAACAAAACAAAACAAAACAAAAAGAACTGGGACTTCTCGGCTGTCAGTCGGTTTGTTTTCTTTCCAAGTCAATGAACATCCTTCTCTTTTGTTGGTGGTTCGTTCTTCTGACCTCTCCTTATCCTGGTCACATGTCTCCACTTACCTTTCACATGCAGTGATGCAGGACACGTGGCGTGCAGAGACCATCTCTAAAGACCTCACAGTGATTTAAGGGCACTATGCATCCAGGACAGGGACAGATCTCCTCACAGACTGTACAGCTGGCAGCTGTTTTACAGCCCATAAAACAGCTGTTTAAAAACTTCAGCAACAAATGGAGTGACCTCTTCATTCTTCATGTTGTCATGTTTCTCTAGAGTTTCATCTCTCTGTGTTTTACTTCAGTGAATCTGATTCATTCGATGCAGGCTGTCACATATGGAGGTAATTGCGCATGTTTCACTTTGCTGCTGTAATGAGGTTCACAAAGGTTTGTGTCGCAAGGGAGTGCCATATCACTTTGGACAGTAGAGGGCAGCAGAGTGCCTTGGGACTGAGTTGTGTGCACAGCTGAACACTGTGATGTTTAGTCTTTCATAATTTATGATGTTTATGATGTGAAGTGTATTACACTGTATTTAAATGAGCTATTCCAGCTCTGCCAAACTCAATCGCTATGCTACATGCCTGAGTAATGGTGGATGCTCTTGTCTTTTAGCAATAACACCCGCTTCCACATGAAGCTCTGATCCAGTTGTGTTTACAGTTCCTGGACACTTGTGTAACTTTGTCTTCATTGCAAGTGTTTTTTTTTTGGGTAGCATGTGTGTAAAATGTTCCGAGGTTACATTGTTCATGACGCATAATTTGAAATTATTTATCTTTATTAAAGCAATCAGGGGAAAACTTTTTCTTTTTCTTCGTTTACTTCAAGATGTGGTGTGTGTATTTTTTATGGGGTTAACCTTCTTCTAAAATCTGTTGTTATTTCAATATTTCTGTCCAACTATTTCACGTTATGTTTGAGCACAACTCGTTGGAAATACCGTTTACTCCTTTTGTTTTATTTTACTTTGTAGGAAACTAGCACAACTTCCGCTTTGTTCCACGGACGCACAGATGGGCCTTGATGAAGCACAATTTCACCTCAGCGCCTCCTTATTGGGAAAATCTGCACAAGGGCTCCCTCTACAGCAAGTCTGCCCTGCTATAGAGTCTCTGCCCTGATGTGGGAAAATGAGAAAGCTAAGGCTGTTGAAACACAACACCATCACGTCCCTAAAACACACTGTTCTCTTTCACTGAAACAATCTGTTTAACAGAATAAAACAACTATTTCTGATGGTAAATAAAAGTCACAAAACATCATAATTTCAACTGAGCAAAGTTGAGTGTTATAGGTTGGTTAGTTCGCCCTTATTTCCACTGAAAAGGTCCCCAGCAGTTTGTTCTGAAGGAAGGAATTAAGTTAAAATACATGGAAGATATTTAATAGGGTGGAGGAGCTGTGTTTCCATATGAAATAAACAGAAAGACCAGAAAACTGGACAAAGGTATGTAATACAATACAAAATATACAAGTGATGTACTAAAACTAGATCCAAACTGTATGACTGACATGTAAAAATAAATAACTAATTATGTGTGTGTGTGTGTGTGTGTGTGTGGGCGGGGGGGTATCCTGAGAACTGAGTATTAAAACTGCCAAACATTTCACTGTGAAAGGAAGACTGTAAAGTCCTCAGGTGGCTGTTTGCTGCAGGAAGGAGCGCTTTTGCAAATCATTCATCCCAACAGCAGTTAGACTCTAAAATTCCTCAATCACTGTCATGAGTAACTGGACATTGTGGACATCCATGGTCACACTTCATGCATAATCCACCTTTTATATGTATGGACGTGTGCATGTATATGTATACATATGCAGTGTTGGGGAGTAACGGAATACATGTTCCACCGTTACGTATTTAAAATACAAAATAAGAGTAACTGTATTCCGTTACAGTTACCGTTTAAAAAGGTGGTATTTAGAATACAGTTACTTTGTTGAAATGAAGGGATTACACAGCGGTCTTTTTTCTTTTCATATGTTAGACTGTCCCCTCTCTATTTTAGGTAATTCCATGTCGGAACAAAACAGGCATTAAGAGGCTCTAAGTCCTGTGTCTCAATCTCGCGGCCCATGTCACCTCTACTTGCGGCCTGTATAGTGATGTGACAAAATAGTTTTCAAAATTATTGTTTGAAAAATTATTTAATAAGAAGGTAATAGGCAGAGTGTTACAGGCATCGCCCTAAAGAATGTAGCATCATGGGCAGTGTAGTCCGTGCTGCAGGGAGAATGGACTGCCATAC